CCAAAGTCATAACCGTATTCGGAGCTACTGGCGGACAAGGGGGTGGTGTAGTTTCTGCGCTTCTCAAAGCCATTTCCAGAGGAGAAGATTACGCCGTCCGTGCAGTGACTAGAGACCCAGATGGAACCAAGGCCCAAAATCTCAAAAGTAAGGGGTGTGAGGTGGTCAAGTGTGATATGGACGACAAAGCGTCCGTGGAAGAAGCGCTGAAGGGCTCGTATGGTGTTTTCTTAGTGACAAATTACTGGGAGCATTTCAGTAAAGAGAAAGAGATCGATCAAGGCAAACGAGTTATCGATGTGTGCGAGGCACTTGGAGTGAAGCATTTGATTTACAGTGGGCTGGAAAACGTGAAGAAACAAATTGGAATTGATTGTGGTGAGTAGTTTAGTTTGCCATACATTTCGCGACTAAACTTGTTATCTCAAACTATGTTAGACAATCGAGTAANAGAGACGATCATCTGTGATAGAGTTGCAATGGACCAATTTCGATGCATTAAAATTCCGCCTAAAAACAATAGACCTCAGCACAAGGCTCTGGGGAATAAACCTCACAGACTCTGTAGTTATTCCCCGGAGCCTCGTATTGAGGTTTACTGTTTTAGGCTGAATTTTAATGAATCGAAATTGGTCTATTGCATAATAAATTAACCTTTTGTTTCCCCGGAGGGGCGCCTATATAAACAGGACGGAAGTGCTCGTCGGAAATTTTGAAAAAGAACTCCTAAGAGATACCAAGGTCCTGTTTTGTTGGCATGGCTTGGAATGTTTTCCACCCCTAAAAGGTACCAAATCTAAAACAATGCATTATCTCCTGTCATATTTTTTCTCAGCTCAATACCCCAAAAGGAACCGCAAATGCGCCCGCTGTGGACCTTTTGAGGCTGAACACCCAAAGAGCTACCAAAACTGCTTTTTTTAAATCGTTAAAGGTACGACGAGCATCCCATCCTTATATCGGGAGTACCCCCACCCCCCAACCCGGGCTGTTTGTAGTCAGTTTTACAATGGTGATTTCGTTTTCAGCGCATTTTGACAGCAAGGGTATCGTGGAAGAGTATCTGCACGGGAAGAAGCTGAAGGAACGCTTGCCCTTCACCATAGTTCGCTTCTCATTTTATTTTAATAACCTGGCATCGATGATGAAGCCACGGAAAACGGCTGAACACACTTATGTCTTTGATATTCCAATGCATGATGTTCCTATGGACGGAATCGACGTCACCCA